GGTCATGTTCAAGAAACCAGTCTCAGCTTTGTGACATGAGATGTTATCCTGCTGGAAGCACCCATCAGAAGATGGGTACATTGTGAATTGTAGCCTCAGTTTTCTGTTCTCAGCTGCTCTGCTGCTGTCGCTCATCTGTTTTGAGGTTCAAGTTGTTTGGATTTCATACCTTGGTTGTAATGAGTCATTATGTGAGTTACTGTTAGCTTCCAGTCAGCTTGAAGCTGTCAGACTATTCTCTGACCTCTGACATCAACAAGGCATTTTCACCAAGAGACCTGATGTAGGAGATTTTCTCTTTTTCAGTTTATTTTCTGTAAATTCTACAGATTGTTGTGCAGGAAAATCCCAGTAGATCTGCTTTTTTGGAAATAGTTAGGCCAGCCAGTCTGGCGTCGGCAACCATTCCATCCATCCATGTTCAAGTTACTTGAATCCCCTTTCTTCCAGTTCAAACCATGTGGCTGATCAGCCACACTGTGCTTCATTGTGCCTCAATACATATAGCTGAATAGGTGTATGTATGGAAGTGGCCAGTGTAGACTGGGCTGTGTAGCTGCAGGATGTTAAAGAGTTTATTTCTTGATATCAGAAACGTTAGAACCGCCTTTGTGTTTCTAACATTTAATTTTCTTTTTATTTTCTGTCAGTACACTCTTCATTAAAGCTGATAACATATTCCAGTTTCCCATCTGTTGAGTAGGCGTGTTAGGTCGTTCTACCTGCTGAGAATACTGGTGGAGATGGAAAAGCTTTTATTAGTCTGCCCTCTTCTCTGCTTCTGTCACGGAATAATCAGAAGTCGTGGAACTCAGAATAGCTGCACACTTCAATGTAAATGTAAGTATTTTTCTACACAAGAAAAGCAACTTTGCCTAGGTTTCTCGCACCTCAGACTGTTTGCATTTTGTTTTCCAGCCAGTCTGGAAGCACTTTTAAACAACCAAACACACTAAAAGTGTCACATTCATCTTTAGGCAACAGTAAATGTTTCAAACCCCTTAGGGACGCTCTGTAAATACACACAAGCCTAAAACAGGGAAAGTGTGGGAACTTTTAAAGTCCATTATTCACTTTCCTTTTGGCTCTATCCTAACTGTTCCCCTGTGTTTACCACCTTGTCCCTAATTTTGATTCCCTGATATTTTGGTGTACAGTTAGAGTGCCCCTGGTTTGTAATTAAGTAAATAAGGGCAGTGTAAGTTAATCAAAAAATCACATTAACCCAAAACAGGATGTTCAAAGACAATAAAGGTAAACTGCAGAGTCTGATCATGGTAATAATGAAACACAGTTGCACCCCTCACTGATGACTGCTACAGTGGATTGAGGATTACTTTGTGATACTGCTGATTGTCTGTGAACAATAGTGAGTAATTTGTCAGAGACACCCTCATTTCTGTGACAGCTCAACTGGTACAATTTTTCTTGTATTATTATTGCAGGACTTTGATTGCCAAAGCGACAATAATAAGCGATTTCAACTCTATTTGAGACAAACATTTCATGAAAATACAAACAACACAAACTATATTTACAAAGGCAGGGCAGACCAAGTAAAAGCAAGCATGTGTTATTACACGTACTCTGCAATCAAAATGGATTTTGATGTAAGACCTGGGTCTGCAGTTTTTTTTAAATTTACTACCTAAACTTTAGATGGTTGTGTTTAAACCTTTCTTTTATCTTGCGGTCATCTGGTCATCTGTGCTTTATACTACTAAGTTAAAAACCCTGCTGTAATACAGAGAAACCTCCAATGAGCACATGACCCGCACATGACTCCCTATGAGCAAGCACTTGGCAACAGTGGCAAGGAAAAACTCCCTGTTAACAGGAAGAACCGTCTGGGAGAACCAGGCTGAGCGGTTGGGGGTAAGGGGGAGGGAGACGCAGCAAAAGACACACTGAACAAGAGAACCAGTAATTACCCCATCTAATACTGATGTTCTCTAGAATACACGCTCGTTACAGTGTAACACGTCATCAGGGCATTTGAGTCAAACATATTATTGACTTCATAATAGAATTAAAATCTAGTCATGACTAGAATAGTTGTTAAATCTTATGGAAATCTTATGCCTTGAATGCTCAGTCTGCTCAGCATCTAAACAAATTTGACAGTCTGTAGGCTAAATATTTTAAAGCTATGCAAGTAGATACAGTTACAGTAATGTGACTGCTTTGAATATTGCTTCTGTTTGCCATACAGTGGGTAATAAGCGGTACTTTTCAGTATTACAATGATCTCCACCAAAATGGCAATTGTGAAGCACTTCTTGCATTAGACTTCATGATAGTCCTGACATTTCTATGTCCGTAGTCTTGGTCTCCCCAATACTTACAGATTTGTCCTTCATGCAGACAGGACAAATCTGTAAGACGTGTAAGTTAGAGCCAAAGGAAAATCCACTGCAGTTTTCATATTCTTATTCTTAACTTTTGGTGACTGAGTTTGCTTTTCCTCTAGGATAATGCAAATATTTGCATTTCAAATGAACAAAAACAGCATTTCTGATAAGATTTCTGTCAAATAAGGAAACACAGATTCATTCTCTTCGCTGTTGACAGCCCAGTCGTGCTTGCTGTTGTGCATTTGCAGTCACTCACTGCAGTTCTTTTCTCTTCCAGGAAAAACTTTGGATCATGACCTCACAGTTTACTTAAAGGGCATATCTTTTAACACACAACTCTAGGGTATAAACTTGTTTTTTCATTTCTCTGTTGTGGTTTTGGTGACTTTATAAAACTATACTAAAAGCACCAAACTCCCATTACAATAGTCTTTCATTAAAGCAGCACATCTGATTCTGCTCTGAGCCTGTTGCCTCTGGCTAAGCTTCAACAAATCGTGCTTCCCAGACATTGTCTTGGGTTTTAATCAATAGGAAATAATTCAAATGAACTACGTTAGAAATCAGAAGTGTAATTCACTGCTCCAAAGTGCTTTACTCTGCTCCAGAATATTTGCTTCACCATTAGGTCAGTGTGAACCTGTTCATCCTGTGTCTAGGTTCCTGGAGGGATCTCTATCATCAGAGCAGGATTTCTGTCAGGATGATGTCTGAACTCCTCCTCCGCTCTTTTGTTCAGCAGTTTTCTTCTCCCACTTTTCCTGTGTCTTCCCTGGAATTTTCCATTGCCTGTCTTACGTCAGCTATACTCAAGTTGCCCTCAGAGAGTTTACCTCCTCTTGAGAACAGCTGACCTTGCGGCTACTCTGCCCACCCACTAGGCATTCGTTGAGTCCCAGCAGAGACACAGTTTTTAGCCGGTCTTTTCCAGATTGTTGCTGCCAAGCTGCTGTAACGTTCCAGTCATTGCTGTCACCTGCACACAATTACTGCCCTTCCTGTTTTAGTCCTTTTCAAGTTGTTTGTCTGACTCCTGCTGCCTACCCATGGCTGACGTGGGTGAAGATCAAAATGTCAGTAATCATTGTCAGTATAGACCAATAAGAGGTAAAACTTTTTAAAGATGACCAAAGATTTGAATTTTTTAAAAAAGACAACTGCCTGGTTCCTCTTTGTGGCACCGCTGTTCGTCTTTTTCTTTTTTTTCTAATCCCAATAAAAAATACATCAAGCTTCTTTTTCTACCTCTGCACACAAATACTTTTAAAGTAATGCTTCAGTTCAGCTGAACAGCTTCCACTGAAAGCGACAGTGTAACATCACTGTGCCCACCTTCTGCAGCACAATTGTCGAGGTGTGTTAGTTAATCCTCCCACGCGGAGCCGGCACCTTTCCACTTTCCCCAGCCAAGTGGTGCCTATTCAGACTTTTTCATGAGAGAGGCAGATGTGTTTGTTCATTCCCCAAAGCTCTGTCAGCACACAGAGGGAGGCACACACACACCAAACAGACAAGCAACACGAAGCTGTGCAAGTTCTAAAGTGCAGTCGCTGTGCAGCTGAAGGGCATTTGCTCATATTTGTGGGGTTTGGGCACTAGTATTCTGTCTTCTGTCAAATGAACAAAGAATTGATCGTGCTAACAGTTATTATCTGTGCACAGCTTGATATCACTTATGCCTACACACTAAAGAATTGCAGTTCACAATAAAGCAGCTGCATTTCCAATATCCAGAGAGTAACACACACTGCTTTGTTTTTACAGTGCTTTTGGGGTTTAATGAGTTGAGCTGAAAGTGAAAGAGCAATTTGCTTTTTTCTGGTCTCTTTCACATGTGTATGGTACATGGAAAGAAGAGAAAGCAGCAGCAATGTTGGAAGCTGGAGCCTATCCCAGCTGTTGTAGGGCACGAGGCAGGATATACTCTGGACAGGTCGCAAATCTACTGTGAACATGTTTATTTCTGGTGTTAGCTCCTTTATTCTCAAGCGATCACCACAGCAGGTAGTTCCACATTTGATTTGGCAGATTTTTTTTTAACAGACGTTCTTCCTGAGGCAGCGCTAAAGGTATTTGTGTCTCTTCCCAGAATCAAACCTGGGACCCTTTGATTGTTAGGCAAATGTGTTAACCACTACACAGCCACTGTGTTTATTTTTGCTGTTAAGTTCTGCATGTTATGGTCGTCTACAGAGATTGGCTTGAATTTGGAGCCAAGCTCAAGTGGCCATTCAACGACAGTATATTATCTGAGATTTGGTAGGCATAGGAAAGATCTCGCTCACCTTCTAGCAAGTTAAATTTAATGTGCTTTCAGGTGAGAACATAGTAAAAATAGTATAAAAAAAGCCACAGGTGTCCTGTAACTGTTCCCTTGAGGGAGCTTGCCAAAAGCCATTACTGTAAGATTAGTAAAGAGTGGTGGCGTATGCCTAAAGTAAGCAAATAGACCATTAATTCAGTTTTAATGTTCGAGCCAGAAATCACCTGTTGAAGGGAAAGATGGATGTCTGGCTTTCTAGAAAGCCCCAGGCAGCCTGTTTTCTTTTCACAGTCAAGCGAGCGAGCGGAATGAAGCTGATTTACAGGTCGGCTTTAGCACCGTTTTAATTATCCTCTCTCTGTGTGTCTTTCTCCATCCTCCAGATGGACCCGGTGCAGAAAGCCGTCCTCCATCACACCCTCGGACTCCCTCCCACCGCCAAGAGGAAGCACGTCTCCTGCAGCGTTTGCCAACTGAGGTTCAACTCACAGGTGAGGAAGTTTTCTTCTGAAGAGGAAAGAAAGTTCAAAAGTCACAAGTACTCCTGCAAGAGATGAACACTGAAAAGAAAAAGAAAGACATGAGAAAAATGGCATCACATCACAACCTGCACAGGAGAAAGTTTAAAACTCTTCCTGCCCTGCTGTCAGCCATACTGTCTTAATGCTCTGTTGAAGTTGAAGTTATTCTATTGCACACGGTAACACATACTGTCACTGTGGCTAAAGGGTAAGATTAAAGGGTAACATAGAAGTTTTAAAGAGAAAAGGTGGAATTTTCTTCATTCACTGCGTGGGGACAGTCAAAGAGCGATTTAGCAGTGCATTAAATGTGTGTGCATGTCGTGCTCTGTTAGGGTTTGGTTTTAGCTGTGAACAAGACAAAAGGATGATTTTAAAAAATATCTTTGTGATGTAAATGAATGAAACAGGACATAATGACAGGAACTCTGCATTCTAATAACCTTACGAGCCACTGCGTACTTATTATTAAATCATTATAGACTGCATATAAAAAGATGGCCTTGATCTTAGGGTCTGAAAAATGAAGTCAGTGTGGGTGGGTGGGCCTACAACCTGCTTTCTTTTAAATGCTCTTCAGTGGGGAACCGCTGGGTTAGCAAGCTGCATAAACTGCATGGGTCCAATGCAGTACAAGAGGTCATCTCACCAATCCGAATCAGAATAGTTTATCAATACCTGAGGAAATTATGTGGTCACAGTTGCTCCATGACAGTAAGAACAGAAACTAATGGAACTATAATAAATAATAAAATATATTATAAAGATACAAAATTTCATAAAACATGTCTAATAGATACAAATAGCTCTAATTATGATTATCCCAGTATATTGCTCAATGTAAATATATATGGCTGACACTGAGATGCACCTCATATCATACTGTACTTTCTCATTTTCTCTGTAGTAGAAAATACAAGCTTTTTGTATGGTGGGTACTGCACAGCAGCCAATATTAATTGCATCAATAGGACGAACATGGTGGAAAGGTCCATGTCAGTGAGTCCAGTTAGTGTAGATGAGACTTACCAGGTGGCGACAACTGCCCATCACTGCCCTAACCAGGCTGTAAATATTTCAGTTGCATTTTAACATACAGCTCTATGGTGTCTTTTGAAGTCATCCCCGAGTGGCACCAAGAGGAACTGCTTTTTTTTCTGCTTCCATGTTTCTTCATTTTTCAGCCCTGGAGGTTTCATTTTGGTTTGCAGATGGAGCCCAGATTGTCTATGATAAACTGACTCTTAATTAATGCCTACCAGGATGAGTTTAGAGTTGCAAGTATTATTTTTTTCTACAACATGGCATTTATTTTGTAAATCATAGTCCAGTGTTACCAGATGGGTGCCTTTGATTTCTCTGAGCCGGGCTTTAATTCTGCAAAAAAAACCAGAAAAAAGCTCCATCTACACCACGTCGTTGCTTTACAAACAGCCTGCATCAATACATCTTCTTTGGCTCTATGGAGAGCATGAATTTAAAGGGTTTATGGAATATTTCTAAATCTCATAGAATAGTGTGTGATTTTTGCCCTATATCAGCTGAAATAGGGTGTACCGCCCACAACAACAACAGTTAGATAAGAAAAAGAAAATGTAACCTATAATTTTTTATAAAGTATATTCATATTCAAAATCGACACACTCGAGTCAGAGCCACCTAACACTCTTCTGGATCATGTTTGACCTACAGTTCAGCAACTAAAACTGCAGCTGACTTCCTGTGATTAAATCCTGATAATAATTCCTGTCAGGCTTGTCTCCTGTGTGGGGAAAACTTGCTGGAATCCACGGCACACCTGGTGGAGGAAATGTCCTCTTCACACCCCAGGAGAGTCTCCATTTATCCACTGAAAAACACAATTAAAAGCCTCACTACCTTGTTGTGAGAGAGGTGAGAAATAGTGAGGAAGAGAAGGAGAGAAAACAATTTGTGTACCAAACAAAAAAGAAAAAAGCATAGAGCTCACCTATGAAACAGAACATGTACAGATAAAACTGTGATGGATATTCACAGTAGACATGCCTTAAATATCAGTGCTGTCATCAATAAAATGGGTGCAAACATCAGTCTCAACGCTTGATTTAAATATTCTCCTCCCTACATTTTCCACAAGATCATTGCAAAAATGATCTCTCACCTCAGACACACAACCTTGTCACTGTGGGTTTTTTGTAAATACCGACCATTTCTTTTTTACACCAAAACCCAGTTTGTACTGGGGTAACATGTTTGTAAGTCTGGCCCATAGACTGCACATAGATCTAAAAAGTGAATGCAACAATAAAGGGCAACACTTGATTATTTCCTCAAGAACATTTCCTAATGAGTTCATGATCGCTATCATAAGTTGAAACCTTATTTAACAGAGAATTGTGTTCATTTTATGGACAGATTTTGGTTATGAGACCAGGCTGGCGTTTCTTCATGCATTTCTCTTCCCATCATTCTCACACGAGTCAATCTTGGTTTGAGAAGCGTGCCGCTCTTTTTAGCGTTTTCTGACAGTTTAATCTGATCTCCTTGCTCTTGAGTGCAACCAGTGGCTTTCACCTTGTTGTAAACTCTCTGTGATTACACTGATGAAGACATCTTTTAATTGTAGACATCGACAATGATAACTCGACCTGCTTGAAAGTGTTCTAGAAAGGATTTTGTGATTATTCAGAGTTGTTGTTTTCTGCAGGCTTCTGATGTTGCTGAACTGGACGCTGCATTCCTTCTTTTTACAATGTACCAGATTGTTGATTTGGTTATTCTGAAAGTTTTTGCTGACTCTCTGATAGTTTATTTTGGTTTTTCAGCACAGTTATGGCGTCCTTCACTCACATCAACATATCTTTAGAACTCATAGAAAGAAGCCCAATGAAAAGATGACAAATTCTAATTTAATACTTGGAATCTGTTTAATCTGTCATGGAATAACACAGGAACAGGCCTCATTTGGCTGTAAAACAATCTATCAGTCAGCTGTTCAGTTACTTTTGAGCCTATGAAACAGTTAATTCAATACTTTTGATAAAACTCTTGTATTAAAGTTTAAAATCAGCACTTTAATCATATCTTGAGTATTTTGTGTGGTGGTGTACAGAGGTAAAATTACAAAAATTGCATTAATATCTAATTATGGATCTAACTATATACGGCTACAGTGGTGGTAATGGTTTCCAACTGTTTTCTGTTTTTGGATATTAATAACATCTTTATTATGGCCAGTCACAGTAAAGTTGTTTTAAAGTGAAATAAAAGAGCTTTAATGGACAGAGGATGAAGTAATGTACATGATTTAAAGTGATTCATGCAAAGTTTTTGTGGTCCAAAAAATATCAACACAAAATTAGAAACATGGATAGGAACAACCCTTTTTAAAACGGGTAATCATTAAATTTGTGTTTCCACATCATCTGGAGAGATTGGATACAAAACGTTAGTGTCTCGACACGTTGAGGAGTTTCAGAATGCCGTGTAGCTCTCTTTCGCTCTGCAAAGCTCATAACAGCTTCAGTATGATAGGATTTCTTGTCCTTATATTTGTCATCATCACACTGAGTTTCAGTAATATATATCATATGTTCCAAACCGAATGTATTTTTGCCTTCATTAGATTATATGTGCTCGCTCTAATATGCTGTAATGAAATGCATGGCAATGCTATTAGCTCGCTAAATTTAAATGACGGACAGGCAGATGGGTTTCATTTCTTCCTGCACCTGATTTCCATACCATTTTCAAAGTAATCAAAAAATTTAAAAGGAAAATCACGGCTCCTGCTGCACGCCGTTAAATCAGCTGTATCCCCAAATAGCAGTGTGGTGGCTCCATGATTAAATGAGTAATCAATTCTTTTCAAACACTGAATGGGTAGGTGATTACTCAGAATGAGATTATTATGTTTTACATGGGGAAATCTGCCTTAGTATATATTTACTATCCATCAGCTGCTAATTTAAAGCTTCATTAGAGAAATAGAGCCTGTGTTCAGCTGTCAGTGGACAGGTAGCACTGTGAGAGAGAGGGGGTTGAAAATGAACTCAGGAGCTGTTTTCTTCTATTTTATTCAAGGATACAACAGGGAATTGTTTTAATTTGCTCCAGTGATCGTTTATCATAAATGTGAGATGATGCAGGGAGAGAAGCTCGACCTGTCCTTCATACTCAATACTGAAACATTCTGAGGACGGAAGACAGTCGAGTTAAAAACCAGTTAATGGCCTGAGATCTTAAAAAGAAAAAAACCTTCTCAGCTTTAATGGATTTTAAGATCTTTCTGCTTTACTTTGCAGTCATGTTTATGAGTTAGGGTCATAAACATGCCTCAAGTCTGCAATTTGTTAAGTGCGAGTGAGTCACCAGATAGTCTCATCTGCTCCATCACGAGAAGCACTTTATTTCCAGTTTACATCGACTGCATTTCAAATAAGTCCTTCATTTATTTACCTTGACTTTTGTTTTTGTGGATTTTATCCAGTTAACGTTTTAGCCCTTTTACAAGCTAATAGGTTTTCTTTCTCAATATTCTTTCTTGAAACACAAAGGAACAAATGTACACGTCACAGTAAGCGTGTCAGGAGAGGCTGAGACCAAAATGATCATGAGTGACATTAGTTAGTGTTTTGTGTGTGTGATACAGAGCAAGCAAGAAAGAATGTGAGCCAAACACACACAGAGAAGCTGCTGATTATTAATTCACATGATGATGGTGTTTACATAAGCAGAAAAAAATTCCACTGAAAATTGCTTTGCCAACCTGTGCAGGATTTTAGTGCCAAGTGCAAAGGGAGGGAACAAAGGGCTGGGAGGTTTAATCAAATAAGGTAATGAAGAGAGAATCGCTGGTATTTTGGTATTTGTTGTCCACTGCTGCTTAATGAAAACCGCTCTCCTTTACTTCATTAAATTCCTGCAGCCATCTGAAGAACACATGTTGATAAGTCTGCAGCCTCTGGCCTGAGAAGTGTCATGCCAAAGTG